AGAATATGTGTTTTAATAATTTTATATTTTAAGAATCGCTTAAGAACCGTATAAGAACCATGGATGGAGATGGCCATAACCTGTGGTTGATATGATATGTGGAAAGATCACGTGCGAGGCAAAGAATCGCGACAAATAGTTCTAAAATTAAAGTGAAAAAAAAGAAACAAATTGTTGATCCATCAACATCCAAAAGCAGTGAAAAATAGATGTCGACAAAAGGACATCTGTTTTCTTATCCAATTTAAGAAAATTTTATGTCCTCAATTATATCTAAAAAAGTTAGATATTTTAGCAGACATTTATTAAGTAGAATCATATAACCCAGTTGCATATTTTTAGTTTTCTTCTTGGATATTGATGGTATTATTATTATCAGTGTAAATATAACTTTACATTATAGTGCGAATAATTAGCTAGGGACAACATGGTAATTATGTAGCAAATTGTAGTGAGCATCATCATGAGTGCACTAACGTTTAACCTTTCACTTACAAATGTATAAAGAAGAGGATAGAAGGACTTATCATAATTCAAATGTTGACTTTTCCTTTAGAGGTCAAAAAAGAAAGTGAAAAAAATATCTTCAATTTTTCTTACCATTCGTGCCACTTGACTGAGTCAACGAGTCCTCACTATCATCAGGTGGCTATGGTACACTAGAGGAGCTACTTGAAGTGATAACTTGGGCTCAACTTGGTATACATGATAAACCGGTATGTAGACTTGCTTGGTTTGATATGTGTATATAGTAACCAAAACTAACCAATGATTGATTGATCGAGGTAGCGATTTTTTTCTCTTGCAGGTCGGTTTATTAAATGTTGACGGATATTATAATGCTTTGTTATCATTCATCGACAAAGCCGTCGAGGAAGGATTTATTCCTCCAACCGCTAGACATATCATCGTATCCGCGCCAAACGCGAAAGAGTTGGTTAAGCAATTGGAGGTAAAACCGATACGAAAATAACCCTAATCCGGCCATATATTCAAGTTTCGATATGATCAAAATTTATTTATGGTTTAATTTGGTAATAGAACCATTAAACCTAATCTTTAGTCATATTTTTTCTTTGTTTTTTATTATCTCACTAAGTGTTAATTGAAAATTCCAAATAAATTCCTAAACCAATTAGTCTAAATCGAAGTAAG